TTTTTTTTTTTTTTTTGCCTTTTTTGGTTTGTAACAGTCTTTTTTCTGTCTTTTTGTAGAAAAGTTAGATCCAACAAGATAGCTTTTGCTTGACGTTTTTGCCTTTTTATTTATGAGAACAGTGAACAAAAAAAGCCGTTTATTTTACTCGAGGTTGATTGTGAAAAATTACTTTGTTTAATTATTATTATTAAATCTGCTAAAAGCATATCTTGTTAGATATTCTGTAATCATGCTAGGGACGCATATGTGCATGTTTAAAAAATTCAAAAAAAAAAGTAAATCCCCCATGTGAATGGTTGTCAACGGAAGTTGTCAACCTTGATTGTACAACTAAGATGACTAGTATGTATGTCCAGTAAAATATTTATATATAGTGATAAATAAGTAGTAAGAGAATTCGATGATACTTGGGAGTTCTGCACGATATCTTAATAAACAAGTGATTTGAATAAATATTTATTGACCAAGGTTTTATAAACTAGAAACTCATAGGGCAGGCTTGCAATTTTTATTTTTTGTTTCATGACACTATTTATGAGAGGTCGAGAAATCAGTTTATTAGTTTTTTAGACACTCACTTAAAAATTGGTGATGTAATTTGAGTTGTATTTTTGGACTTTTTTCAAATTTTCTTCCAAATTCAACTCTCAAAAACAAATATTTTCAAATATAAAAAGAATGAAGTTTGGACAATTAAAAAAAAATCATCTTCAAATAAATCCTTCTTTCTGTTTATATTCATTTTTCTCCATCTTATAATCAATAGAAAATGAGGGTGAGATAAATGATTGGGTAAAATAAATAAAGTCGTATTGAATAGTAAGGAGTGATTAGCATATTTACTCTATATTGTTTATGTATACATAATACATACATACATTTTTTTAATATATGAGCATATATGTAGTTTTATTATTTTAAAAAGTTTTAAAACTGGTAGATAATAAACTCTTAATGCATTGATTGAATTATTTTAAAAATCGCTTCTAAAAACTACCCAAAATATACCCCTCGTAAATGTTTAAATTCAATATTTTAAAACCCTCATAATTGGTACTCCAAAACTTCCATGGAGGACCTTAGCCAAATATACTCTAAGCCCTTGTTTGGTATTTACTAAAAATATTTTTTTTTAGTAATTTTTTATAAAAGTTGATGAAATATTTGATGAAAAGTTGACAAAGCGATTGATCTCGTATAATGTATAGTTAAATTAATTGTTAACCGTTAATTTTTATTATCCACTCCATTCCATTTATATAGGCCAACTTTCCTTATTTTCTTGTACCAATTATACAGCCTCGTTTCTTTATCGAGAATGTTTTGTTCTATTTGTTTACTAATATATCCTTATTTAATTTATTTAGTTATAACCATTTTTTTCTCACTTAATCTTAAAATTGTACAAATATACATATACATACTTCTTGAAAATTAAATCATTCAGTTTATTTACTACTTTCAACTATAATTTACTACTAATTATTGATGATTAAATAAGAAAATGTTATTGGTGTATAATCATCTAATGATTATACAAGTTGGTTTTTCCTTATTTAAACTGTAAAAGATTTTGGTAAAAATTATTTTTTCAATAACATTAAATAAGATTTCTTAATTCGTGTGAAAAACAAAACCAATCTATATAAATAGGACGGAGTGGATATTTTTTGAGCTAAACCAAACGTAGGCTAAATACTCGCGCAAAAAAGATAAGTAATGTATTTTTTTTAGCACTGAAGTCAAAACTTGAAATTCCATTAGGTACAAATTAGATATATAATTTCAACAACTATAGCTTGAATATGATTTTGAAATATTTGCCTTAAATATTTTTGTGATATGTTGTATTCACCAAATATCAAATAACGTCAAAAGTAATGAGGGAACTAAAATATTATATTAACAAAACGTGACCAAATTAGGATTTGCAATGTTTGATACTAAAACTCAATTTTGAATTATGAGATGATTGTATATTGTATTCAATAAAATTAAAGCTTGAAGCGAACAAGGCATGTATTTTAGTGTTATATTCCTTTACTTATATAGAATTTAAAGTACAAAATTCAAAATCTCTAGATTCTATCGTAATTTATTTGAAGAAAGCAAAATCTTTTAATTCAAAATTATATTATATGATTATATCAAGGAAAATAATAGTGTGCCTGAAGGGGGTTACCGAATGGTTTACCNGGGTGTGATGATCAATTCCCCCCCCCACCCCACCCCACCCCACCCCACCCCAAGTGTGGGCCTCGTGTATTTTCAAAAATGTCGGCTCATGGCTCCCACCCCCTAATGTGAGTGGAGTGTAAAAGATTTGGTAAAAAATTTGGTAAGTGTAGCATGACTCTTATATCAATTAGAAGGATCGCTCAAATTACCGTTAAATCCTTGCTCAATTCGAGAATTTTTTTGACGTGAATGTTATTTCATACTCAGCTCCTGTTTGGTACATATTATCTCAAAATACATTTTTTTAAAACTCATTTTTAACTACACATTCTTCAATAAAATAATATTTTCCATAATAATAATAATTTTTTCTTACTTTTTAACCACATATTTCCCATTATATCACTATTTTAAATACATTATTTCATCGATAATATCCATCAAACACACTTGTAACTATAAAAGTTGAATACTTTTTTAACGGCAATTCTAAACATATTTTGAATTATAACAACTTCATTTTTTAATTAACTTTTTACTGCCTTGTTATTATCGTGTTAAAAATAAATCAAATAATTCAACATCTAACCACTTTTTTTTTTTTTTTTGAAAAAACTAAAAGTCATACAATTTTATTTTTACCTACTCGTGTAAAAAATCAACATTTTGCCAAATTATTCAAATGCTCATTTGATAAGTTTTTTGAATTTTTTTTTTGATTTTTGAAAGAGAGTTTAGAAGAAATTACTCTCGCCTTTATTAAATTAAAATTAATTAAATAAATTTAAAAGCAACTTTTCAATATCAATTTTTTGTTTTTAACTTCTTAAGAGTGATGCAAAACGGATTGGTCATCTTTGGTTCACGTTATTTTTTTCATTTTAATTTTTCTGTTCATTTTTAACCACACATTTTTTAATAAAATAATATTTTTCATCACATCAATAACTTTTATTTCTTTTTCAATCACATATTCGTTATTATATCAACAGTAAAAATGCATTCTTACCTTGAAAATGTGCACGAAACTGAGCCTAACACATTATTCTAATAATTACTATTTTGCGTATTGAATTGCCATCCTGCATAAAAATAAAAGAAGAAAGAATAGGAAAACCGAAAGCGAAAATAAGAAAACCCTACTACGAATCTGTCATCCCCGTCCGCTGTCGGAGGCATCAAAATCTCCGAGAAACTTCACTCTTCCCTTCTTGGAAAGATTCCATGGTAAGTGTTTTTCTCCTCCAATTCTATTTGTATACCTCCATACTTATGTTACGATTTCTTTCATATTGAACGGAAAACCTAATTTCTCGGTCGATCCGGGTAATTTTGAAAAATGATTAATTCCGAAGAATGGCACTGGTAACTGTTCTGGACTAGGCGGTATGGCGTTACATTTCTGTCGAATTAAGATATTGGAAAGAAAAAATAGGAGCTTTAGTTCATTCATAGGTAACTGCTAATTTGATAAATTCGATTAAGGGCTCGACATTATTTCAGATATATATGCATTACTTTAATGGAGGGTTTCTCATTTATGTTTGCAAATGGGAATGTCACAAAGGTTAATTTTGCTATAATTGTAGGGGTTCAGGGGAGAGATTTCGAGTTTTTGATTTTGTTGAAGATAATAGTTGGAATTTGTTTGCAAAAGAGAGACCATTTGATCGGGTCTGCAGTTCCTCATCCTTCTTTTGTAGCTACTGTTGATTTTGGCTTTGAAATAAAAACGGAGTTCCATTGCAGTATAATTGGAGTCGTCAGTCCTAAATCCATGCGATACAAGTGTAAGCTAAAAATGAAAATGAAAATGTGTATAAAAATTGTAATTATAGAAAAAGGAGAAAGCAAGTTAATGGATTCAGATTCAATGTGTTCAAGTACATTAATACCAAATTTATGGTAGAAAGATGTGCGTCCCTGTTGTTTAAATATTAAAGAGCAGCCCATGGCTATACTATTTACAAGGTCAATCAACAACGATTTTAATGAAACTCACTACACCTAAGTAAAATTTTCAAAAGGTGGACTCGCTGAATTAGATGACTACATTGGTTTAAAATATAGTTGGCACTTTTCTTTTAAACTATATCTCCCTCCCCACACCCTCCCACACACGCATACAAAAAGGAAAAGAGGATAAAAGTTCTCCATGCGGACACTGAAACAAATTCTGACTCTTGATCGAGTGTATTTATTGTGGAGTTTTACATTCCACGTGAATTTAATTGTTGATATGTGGATATCTCGCCAACACATTCGTCCTTGATGCCTTTAATTTTCTGACTTCTAATTTTCTTCAATTTGCAGGTATTATTCTACCTTTTACCTTTAAGCTTTGAATGAAATAACATAGATCAATAATATTATTGTTCTAGTAGACTTTGTCAAATTATGGAAGTGAATAGAAGAAATTTTTTGAAGAAACGTTCTAATCCCCAGTTCAAGAGAAAAGGGGCCCCTAGGAAAGGACAAGGGCATATATCTGTGCGTGAACATTCTCCTGAAAGCTCTCATTTTTCTGAGACGGTATATCGTATACTTTGTCAATCAAAGAAGATCGGTAGTGTCATTGGGAAAGGTGGTAATATAGTAAAAGCCCTCAGAGAAGAGACCCAAGCAAAGATTACAGTTTCAGATTCTGTTCCTGGCTCAGATGAGAGAGTGATAATTATATTCAGTCCTTCTGACAAAAGAGCAAAGGTATATAATGACAATAAGGATGGAGAAGATCCTCAAGCCGAGAAAGAAGATAGTGTCGTGAATCCACATTGTGCAGCACAAGATGCTCTCCTCAAAGTTCATGACAGGATTGCTGAGGAGGATCTTGGTGGAGCAGGAAATGAGGATGAAAATGAAATAGTGATCACTGCACGTCTTCTTGTTCCAAACAACGTAGTGGGATGTCTTTTAGGTAGAAAGGGAGATGTCATTCAAAGATTACGCAGTGAGACTGGTGCAAACATCCGTGTTCTACCTGCCGACCATCTTCCTGCCTGTGCTATGAGCACTGATGAATTAGTTCAAGTAAACACCTTTAAGCCTTTTGCTGTTGCAATTTGTAATTTCTTTAGTCTCTACTTGCATTAATTGAAAAAAGATATAACTTCTTGCAGATTTATAACAGTGTGGCATGTGTAGTGAAATCTTTTCATAATATTTCATGCTGCTTGTTTGCAATGCATATGTATACAACAATCTGTATGCTACTGCATGTTTTGCAAACATATCTATACGTTAATACGTGTTTCAGTGATGGTCTTTTATCTTTTAAGCAAAGTTTTATTGCAGAAGCCCTTATCTTTTTATGCAGAACTCTTGCTACTGATTGGCAGCATTGCATCTCTGTGGGGTTAGATTTTTTATCCTTTTCAGGGTGCAAACAATGCTGCAGAGTCTGTTACTTATTTCACTTTCAACAATAAGATGCACACATACTTCTTGCATTGTTTCAAATCAAATTGGCAGTACAAAGGAAAAAAATGGGAAATATAGGAAGAAGTTTCTTACAATCTATGAGAACTGTGGGTTTTGAATTATTAGTCGCTCTATTTCTCATGATCTTTCACATGCGTACTAACGACTCCATTTTCAAATTGTTGGGATCTTTGAGATTGGACCTCTTGAATCCTACTGTCCACTACTGGAATAGAACCGGAAATAAAATAACAGGGAGGGAGAATTTACTGCTTATGATTTGCACCGTCTGCATGTCTCGGATCTAATTCAGCTGACAAACTTGGAGAATATTCAAATTTGGACTTCTCATACAAAAGTGTGGAGTGTTAGTTTTTTCCACTTTTTCCATGCTTTTAGCAATTAGAGTGTGGTTGATAGGTTTTATTTTCCATTGAAAACGTCATTTTTCTACCAAAATTCCTACTTTTGGGGTGTTTGATTGACACTTTTTTCATGAAATTTTTTTTCCAAAAGTTGGTCACGTGATTATGTTTTCCTAAAAAAAATGATAACATTTTCTTTATGGGGAGGTTGGTTTTTATTTTCTAGGCAATTCACACTTCCCAAAAACTCAATTTTTTGAAAAAGTACAATATTTTCTAGGTGGAAAATTAAGTCAATCAAACACATTTAATTTACAATTTTCATGCAAATAAGTTTGCCTAAAACTTATTTTCTTTTCATGCAAGTTCCATGCTTGCAATCAAATACATCCTTAGCCTTTTAGACTAGAGTTAGTTCTGAAATTTTTGTAGTTGAAGGTTTTAGTAAATGTTATAAGTGGTAGACTTTTAATCTTGTTTCAGAACATTAATGTATAGTGTTATAATATCCTAAATAAGAAGGCTATGCAATAGGCAAATATATATTTTTTTTGTCCGAGTCTAGTCTTGGTTGGTAGAAAGGTGGTACCTTGTCTCCAAACTTCTTCTCTATTTCCCAAAAGTGAGAGCTTCACACTTTTGACTCGACTACCTAGGTAGAAGTGTAACCATAACTTCCCTCATTAGAATTCCCACGTATTCTCATTCTTTATGTATTTCTTTTGCATTCTTTTCCCCGAAGTGTAGGCATGATTGCCTTTCTTCACGTGAAACAAAATTTTCTTTGAGCAATTTTTATGTTCTACGAACTAGAAAAATGCTATTCACATTTACAATGTAATCCTCCGATGAATCTAAAGTATATAAACTTGACTGGTGTTTCAAGTATTTTTATTGAGTTTCATTAGGTGAAATGAAATCTGATAATATTGGTTGTCTATTTATTATAGATTTCAGGTAAACCTGCAATTGCAAAGAAAGCTCTGTATGAAGTGTCTACTCTTTTGCATCAGAATCCACGGAAGGACAAACCTCCTTTGGGTTTTCCCGCTCCCCATGTTAGTCAAGGATTTCCTTCTGGTCCTCCCTTGGAAAATATGCCCCCCCCAGGAAATTCACCTTGGCGCCGCCATGATATTGATTCCCAGAGTTTGCCACCTATGCCGTGGAAGGGGGAATATGGGACCCGTCCATCAGGATATGGACCCGATGACTTTGATGGTGTTCCTCCTCCACATGGCCGGGAAGCTCCAATTGAATTCGCTATGAAAATCCTCTGTTCTGCTGAAAAGATTGGCAGTGTGATTGGCAAGGGAGGCTTCAATGTAAAACAATTACAGCAGGAAACTGGAGCCAGTATTCATGTTGAGAATGTCTCTGCAGTCTCAGATGAAAGAGTAATTCGTGTCTCTTCGTTTGAGGTAACGAGCTGTGTCTCATGCTGTTACCATTAGTATGGCGTTTAACCGAATTGAAAGTTGTTTCAGGTTCTTTGGGAACAAAGATCACAAACTATTGATGCCATTCTTCAACTACAAAATAGAACAAGTGAGTACTCTGAGAAGGGCACAATCACGACAAGACTTCTTGTTCCATCAAGCAAGGTCGGCTGCATTCTTGGACAAGGAGGTCATGTCATCAATGAAATGAGAAGGAGAACCAACGCAGACATACGTGTTTTTTCCAAGGAAGAGAAGCCCAAATGTTCATCAGAAGATGAAGAGCTTGTGCAGGTAATATCCTAGCATTGTGCAGATTTGTCATCCATAATGCCTATTTTGTGACCTATTGTCCTTTCTTAAACTAAAAGAGACGTTTCCCTGCTAAAGCTTGTTCACGCTTTTGATTATCAGATATCTGGAAATGTTGGGGTTGCTAAAGATGCCTTAGCTGAGATTGCTTCAAGACTTAGAACGAGATGTTTGCGTGATGTTAATGCCAGAGCAGAACCTGCTTCTGTTAAGCCAATCCCAGGATTTGGTTCTACAAGAAACTTGCGAGATGGAGGCCTACCACTATCAAGTTCTACCAGAGCTGGAAGCTCTGGAAGACATGAATATTTGAAGGTAATAATTTTCTGTTAAATATGTTGTTAACTGAGGGTTCCATGTCAAGGGTTCTGATTTTCAAGTTTTGTTTGCACATCTAGTTTTAAAATGTATATTATTAAATTTTTTAAGCTTGAAATGTCCGGTTTGAGGAGAACATTTCATATTATCTGCAAAAGAGGATACAGTTCAGATGGAGGGAGGGAGGCTCTTTCCCTATTTACCTCTCACTCCGCTAGTGAGTTTTCCTTGCCTACTATCCTACTGATTGATCCATAACTCATCCTTTCCTCCTTACACATTTAGCCCTTGTTTGATCCTCATTATTTCCAAAATACATTTTTTTTTCTCTCTTCTTTTCAACCACACATGTTGCAATAAAACAATATTACAATCAAAACCAAAACTTTTCTTTATTTTTTAACCACACATTTTCCATCAATCTATTATTCCAAAATGCGTTCTTAGCCAAAAATGGGGCTCAAACAGGTTCTTAGTTCCCCCACAAAACTCCCTCTTACTCTGTATTCTTCTGAAAAGATTTGTTCCTTCTCTTCGACTTCTGCATTTCTGCCCTGTATAAGTCTGAGCCTTTTGATTACGTGTTTAACACATATATAAAATGAGATTAAGATTGAATTTCAAGTTATGGCATGATGCTGTAACCAAGAGTTCAAATCACAATTGAAGTTTATAATCTTACTTGTATTTAGTTCAACATCTTTTGATACAATTGTGCTTGAAATCTGTTAATACACCAATTTATATTCTATAATTTTACACGCACAGCAGAGATGGAACTGCTTATGTTCGACACAGGAGTTGAAGAAATGATTTCTAGGTTTTCATTGTCCTGGAAGGAGTGCAAAAGAAAGTTAAATGCCTTATCATGTTTGGTTTGGTTCTGATTTTGTTGACTGTAAAGAGTATGAACTGAAAAGCTGTCAATTTGGGTTTGCAGTGGGGGGATTGCATTTTGTTTTATCCATGCTTTATCAATTAGAGCTGAGTTACATTCTCCATAATTAAATGTGAAAAATGCAAGGCTGTGGAAAGGCCGATTAGGGCTTAAGCTCTTGGTGCGCGCTTTATGTAGGCTAAGTGCATATAGTTTTCATATTGTTGAAATGTTGCATATACAATGTGCATATTTGGTGTGCAACTTCAGTTTCTACATATTTATACATAATTTAGTAGAAAATACTGAATAAACTATTGTCACAATAGCTAGAGCTCTAATGTAGATTGGTGCTATGAATTAGAAGCTGGAACAGTAAATATGAATCATCTTTGTCTGTGTAGTGTCTAGAGCATATAGAGTTGCACAGAGAGAAATTGTTTCTGGTAAAAGGAGTTATTAGTGAGAAAAAAGAAGGGAAAGAATGGAAATGAGGTCCTGTTAAATGAGGGCTGGAGGCTTTTTTGAGAAAAAAAGTGAGATACAGTGAAAATAATTGAGGAAGGGGGTGCAGGATTTCTTTTGCTTAATACTGACTAAGAAACAACTGCAGTTCACCGTAAATCGGCATATCCCCCTAAATTAACTGACTACATAAAGATATTAAACTGCCATACTGCGCAATCTGTGAACCAAAGAGTCAGGACTTAGAAGATTCAATATTCAATGACCCAAGTGCGGTGCAAGTAGCTAAACTGACTTCCCAAAAGTAGACCTGTCTGATGTTCTCCTCAAACTCATGAATATAGACGGTCTTCTTTTTCTACACAATAAGGGTGTGTT